AGGCGAAGCATAGGACTCCTCATCATGCGGTGAAGAGGATACCGTTGGGGGTCTGTAGACAACTTCTTCGTCTTCATCTTCAGAACCACTCTTTGAACCAGAGAAAGATCCAGATGAGCTATCCGAAGACACATTTATTGACTTGAAAAGCGATGTGTAATCAAACAACCAATCCGGATCCACTCGAGCATCCATCTCATTCTCCTCCAACCAGCGCATGTCATAAGATTCCACAACCTGCTTCGTCTTCTTATTGTAGACCCTATATGCGGTGCGAGCAGCATACCCTACGAAGTAACAATCATCGGATTTGGCATTAAACTTCGGATTGGTCTCTAGGTGAAGAAGGGTGCAAGGGCAGCCAAATACATGGAAATGACTGATTGAAGGCTTGTGACTATATAGAATCTCATACAGAGACTTCATCTATGCTTTGTTGATCAACACACAATTCTGAACGTAGCAAGCAGTGTTAATCGCCTCGGCCCAAAAGAAAACTGGTAACATGGACTCACACATCATCGTCCTTACAACGTCTTTTAAAGTTCTATTTCTCCTTTCAGCAACACCATTTTGTTGAGGGGTGTGAGTGGAGCTATATTGACGCATAATACCCTTTTTTACGCAAAAATAATCTAGATTAGAATTCTTGAACTCTGTTCCGTTGTCGGTACGAAGCGCCTTCACCCGATTGTTAGTTTGGTTCTCAATCACACAATGAATTTCTTAATTAGATCAGCAACCCCAGCTTTATTGGATAGAAAGAAAACCCACGTAAAACGAGAGAAGTCATCAATCACAACTAGACAGTACACATTTTTGTTAATGCTGAGAACGTTGACTGGTTCAAAAAGATCCATATGCAGCAATTGAAGTACCTGACTGATTGAATTAACCTGTTTTGGAAGGTGTGGTTTTCTATGATGTTTTCCTTGTGCACATGACACACACTTTTCAAAAGTTATAAAGTCTTTGACAGGCAAACCACGTACCATCACATTCTTCGCAAGACCATTCAAGTTTTTGGCGTTAGCATGACCGAGTCTTTGGTGCCACAACATGCATTTTGTTCCGAGACCTTTAAAAAGAGGCACATAACTTGTTCTGGAATATTGCTATTCATATCAATGATGTAAGCATTTCCATCCCTGTTAGATTTGACAAGAATCCATTCTTCTGGGATGACAATGCCTGGCTTGAGAATCATACATTCCTTGTCAGTGAAATGTGTAGAATAGCCTTTGTCACATATTTGAGATACACTCAACAAACTATGCTTTAATTTGGGAGCAAAGTTAACATTCTCGAAACTTAACACTCCATTTGTGATGGTTCCTCTCTGAGTGATCTTTCCACCTTCTCCACCCGCAAAGGAAACATATCCCCCATTAAAAGATTGAATGTTGTTTAGTTGGGAGATATCTCCTGTCATATGCCGGGAGCAGCCGCTGTCGACGAACCAGGGTCTGACAACATTCCCCCGCAACTGTCCCTACAAAATGTGCGGGATCATTCAGATTTGGGAACCCAGTTCATCACTTTCCTGGGTGAACCCATTGTCTTTTCAGATTTATCATTATTTACTAATTTTCCAGAGTATACTGATGATGGATTAGAGCTTATTTTGGGCAACCATTGGTAATTTGGTTTTCTAATAGTCCTCGATGGTTTTGAAATAAGATTTTTATCAGTTTGCCTTAAGCACTTGGGCTTTCTACCTGAATTAGTTGAAGACCCATATCTGCTCCTTAATGAAACCGATCCTGGCTTAGCCATGTTTGATTTTGGAAAATTGTTATGAAAGACCTTTTTATTCTTTTGAAAAACTGCCCATTTTCTACTACGATCGTCCTTCCAATCATCATTCCAAGAACGAGTTCTAGAGGAATTTCTAGTTAAAGACCTTCCTCTGAATTCGTTCTCTCCTCTTGGTGACATATAATGTACAAAAATTCTATTAGGACAATTCCTAGCTATATGACCACCAATACCACAATTGAAACAAATCTGTTTATTATTGTTAAAACATGTACTGCTCTTTTCAGATTTGCTTTCCATACCGACACCCTTGCTTTTCTCACATGAACAAGAACAGGAAGTAGGTTGTGAGATAAGTGAGGGTGTACCAGATGGAGAAACTTATGGAAATGGTGTATTTTCATTAGTATTATTACAAACATCAGAATTATCAATCATCTCATCAAACACTTAAAAAACATTCAAACTAGTATCAGAAGGTGCAGAAAAATAACAAAAAACATTGTCACTTTCAACATCAGAAAAATTAAAGTCTTTATTTAAAACTAAAACTTCAGGTTCAGACTCAGTTTTATTTTCAGAAACAAATCCTTCAACTTTGTGCTTTGACTAATTTAAGGATTGATCTGCAGGAGAAGTAGAAATGTTAGTACTTTCAACATTAATAAATCCTCCCGAAACAAAATCAGATGGCTTGCCATAAATCATGGATGGTTATTGGCAATCTCCTCCTTGGACAAAGGTTGAAACTGATATGAATGGTTGAAAGGAGGAGGCACTTTATCATACCCTAGACCCTTTGACTGATTATGTTTGAATTGCATGCAATGGTCTATCATATTGGCAGCTACCTCACTTGATACATCATTTTTTCTAAAATCAAAATCAGCAGTTTCAAATTTACCCTTTAATGTCTGAAGTTCAGTAATTAACTCAGCGTTCTGTCTCTTTATGTAGTCATAATTTTTACATTTATTACTGTAGTCTTCCTGAAGTCTTCTAAAGTCCTTTATTTTAGTTTCTAACTGGGCCTTAAGAGGTTTTTGTCCTTTTTAAAGTTGATAACCCTCATATCTAAGGTCCTCTACTTCTCTACGTAATGTTTCTATTTCTTCATGAAGAATTTTAACATAATCAATACAAGCTTGAGAGCAGGAAGGCAGGCTTACCTCATTTTTATTTGGTTCAGAAGCAGAAGAGACCATCAGCGCAAACTGCAACTCCATCACTTGATCATCAGCTACAACACTCTCTGCGGAAGCTTCACCACAAACTTGAGCCAAATGAGCATTTTCAGGCCTTTATATATTTAGGGCCTGCATCTGATCCTCCTAGTCGAATCACTGAGTAATCATAGCCTTCTCACTATTGACCTGAGCACCGCTCCGATTGTTTCCTACTGCAACCATTGTCTGGGCATTGTTTAATCTTCTATCCGGCTTCGGGCACTCACGAGCAAAATGACCTGGCTCGTGGCAATTGAAACAACGTAGCTTTCCCTTGCTGAACCCTACCTTTTTATCAACACTCATCCCCCAGTTATTCTTCCCTGTCTTCTTCGCAAACTGCTTTGCCCTGAAAACTGCCATGGCAATTTGCCATGTAATATCCATTTCTTCTACATCTTCAGGATGAATCTGATCAAGATCAACAAATGACAATTGTGGCGGAAGATCTCCAGCTAGAAGAGCATTGTAGTAGTTAACAAGTCCTGTAGCGAGAGCAAGATTTTCATCACACTCCTTGGCGTTTGAGGAAGAAACCACATTAAAGGGAGAAGCAGCTTGAGTAGCAACAAATGATTGGTTCTGAGAGAAAGGCATGGCTGATGCAGCGGGAAGTGAAGCAGCTGATGGAGTGGAAATGGATTGAATATAAGCTTGCTGAGCAGCAAAGGGCTGACCTGCAGAGGAAAAGGTGAGAGATAAAATAGCATTGTTAGATGAGATCCCAAGGTTTGCAGCTGAGTATGAATTCACATGATTTATCTCCCATTGTTTGTCATCAATATCACAGGCCTTGATGACTGCTATCATTTCAGCAAGAGTAAGGCGACTTAGATCCTTGGTCTTCTTGATAACAGCCACATTCATGTCCCATGACTTTGGGAGAGCATTCAATAACTTTTTTTTTTATTTCAGACTTTATGAAAAAGATCCTGGCTACAGTCATCTCAGTAATGAGAGTTGTGAATCGCTACAGTTGTGCCTCCAGGGTTTCTCTAGGAATGTGGTTGAACATGTTAAACCTTTGTCGCAACATATCCTGGCGGCTCTCCTTCATGTCTTCATTCCCTTCATATACCTCCATTAGGGCTTCCCATAAAGCCTTTGCTGAAGTATACTCCCTAAAACCTTGAGCAATATCTGGAGACAAGGCCATGGTAAGAGTGGCCAAAGCTCATTCTTACTCCTCAACCTTCTCAAAATCTTCATCAGTGTAATTCTCAATAGCTTTGTCGGTGACTTGTCCGACAACAATGGTCGTTATTCCGACAGGATTCTTAATGATGCTTCTCCAAATCTTGAAGTCCTTCATTTTAAAGTACTTCCCTATCCTGTACTTCCATTCAGGAAAACCTTCAGCAGACAACAGTCTTGGAATACGTGTGGTTGTGCCCATGACAGAGTCCAGCTCATGGTGATGTGTTTGACTTTGTGAATCCATTGATTATTAATTTTAAGAACATAGATTTTATTTATTTATTTATTATTATTATTATTATTATTATTATTATTATTATTATTATTATTATTATTATTATAAATTTTGAGTTTCCGATCAAGACAAAGGTTTACGGTCAAAGTTTGTTTGCGGCCGTAAACTCGGTTTACGGTCTTGAGTTTTTGATCGAACCAAGTTTATGGTTTTTGAATGTAGGTTTGCGATTATTGAAGATTCTTGATGTACGGGCTACGAGCACATTTTACGGTTCAAGAAGGATCTTGAGTTTGCGGCCGTAAGCTGTGTTTACGGCCGTAAGCTCTTGGCCGTAATCTCCCAGAAATTCAAGAAACCACATTTTTTTTTTGGATTAAACTTGATTCCCTTTCGCAGTAAACACCAACTCCAATCTCAAACAGTGATGAATATAGCCAAAAACTCGATTGTAAGATGCATTGACACTGGTTTTGCTTTGATACCAATTGTAAGGTCATGAAACGGATCTTACCCGTGATCAAGCAAACAAAACAATTAATAATAATGAGAATGAAGAAGAAACAGAAATCAGAACAAGTTTGCACACGCTTTTATTAACGAAAAACGTCTGATACAACTCGTTTACAACAACCGTGAACTCTATGGCATCAATAACCATTAAATGACCTACAAGACCTCTATATATAGTGACCTGGGCCGACTTGGGTTTACGGCCGTAAACAGCTTACGGTTGTAAACACATGCACTGGCCATAAACTACAAAAAAGGCTACCAAAATTGCATTTATACCAAAAAGAACCTATTACAACGAATGTCTGGACCAAATCATTAATTAGACCCTTCAATGTACCCACATGTAATCTTATGATTGCTTTCACCACCTTAGATAATAGTGTATGCTTTAGAAACCCAATAGGCGTCTCTTATGTTGGCGATCGTAGACGTCTACAAGTCTCCTAATCTTAGCACACGACTTCCAGATTTCTAATCTTCTAACACTGCCCGAAAGGTTTAAAATGTAGAAAGGAGTAACTCCGCTTGTGCCCTTGAAGTTAGGTTTAGGGGGGATGGGCTTCCGACTTCGAACTTCTGTCCGATCGCCTTTTTTCTTTAACATGTCACCTTAGTTTACCATGACGAGATGTTAATGACTCTTTTAGGCTTTCATTCATTTTTCATTTTTTTTTAAAAGAATGGTCATTGAAACTAAAATGTTTTCGAAAACAACATAAAAAAGCAAAAGAATATGCATAATGGTCATTCTATAGTATTTTAACGGAGCATTATAAACAATAATTGCTTCATGAAACTCTGATGCAAGATTTGGAAATCACATAAACCAACCACATGAATTTTCCAAAAAATTGAACCAAAAAAACACATTAAAAAGCAAACCACAAGTACCAAATATATAATTTATTCTTCTTTTTATATATTTCGGCATAGTTTTGCCAAGTAATGGAGTTTGTTGGTATGATGAGTACCGAGTACGTCGACTTTACAACATTACAAATTCACAATATGATATGAACAACAATTTATAAACAACAAAATAATTATATGTAAATCTAAGAAAATAAATTAATTAATTATAACTAGGAACGACCACTTAATACAAACGACGTAATCAATTCGTTGAGTGAATATGGAGCTTCGACATTTGCAGCGTGCCCTACGTCCTTAATTATCTTTAGCGTTGATTTCGGACCCAAGTGCCTAAGTAATGATTTTTACTTAATTATAAATAAATAAATAAATAATTTAAATTTTATATAAAAAAAAAAAATAAAAAAAAAAAAAAAAAAAAAATACCTATGTAGTTGATGTCCCAACTGAATCGGGAAGATATTGTCTTTCTCTCCCCATATTATAAGTGTTTCCTTCATCACCAAATACGTACTCTTAATTTATTATAAATGTACACTCAAAGTAAATATAAATTATCAATATATACATAAGGTTTTAGTATGTTCAAATTTGGTTGTGCCATAAACCTTTTTATTCATATTTTTTAAGAGAAAATGATAAAGATATTAACAAAAGTATTTTTTAAAAAATAGCCATTTTCTTCTAAACTATACAAAACAACCAATAAATACATAATATGAAATTAATTTCTATATAATATGAAATTATTCATATTAGTATTACTATGAAAGTAGATAACCTTAAAATCATAAAATAAACCCATAATATTAAAGTCATTATCACAAGAAAATTATATCGATCACGCTACCATAAATATCGGATAAACATGTATCGTCAAATATTTGATCATAAATTTCTTTGAGTATTTTCTATAAACGTTTAAAACCCCCGGGCCCACACATAAAATCTTATTGAACTTGTATGTCATTGTATCGTGTCATCTACACATAACATTTGTCTTTTTTTTCTTTTTTCTTTTTTACTTAAGAAAATTGTATTTGTATCCCAATAATTTAAGTTGTATTGTTGTAATGTCTATAATTAGTTTAATCATGCAATATTCAATTTTACGTTTTAATTACACAAAACTTATGTTGCTGATATTGAATTTAAAAGCTTAATAAAATGTTTACATAGTATAAAAAATAGTTATATATTAAGTAATAAGAAAAGCTAAAAAAGTGTCGTTAATACGTAATTTTATTTTTTTGACTATATCTGTAAAAGCCAAAAATGTGTCGTATTTAATCGTGATTTGACTTTAATCTGAAAACGTCGTCGTTACTACGTAAACTAGTTTTGAAAAGTGTGAGTAAATTAAAAGTTGTATCCATGGCACCTGGGTAAGAACAGGAAGATGAGGATCAGGTTTTTTCGAAAGCAAATTCTCAATCAGTTCTTGTCTTTCCTTCCTCCATCTATCTGCCTGCAAATCAAAGATTGATCGATTATACTATAATTCTTCCTTCAATTCAAATCCAACCATAATAGAGATGAAAAGCTTAATTGAACACTTACAGCAATGAATCCACGAAGGAAGAAATCAGGAAACCACTTTCCAATATCGGATTTATACATAGACAATCTGCACAGCGTTCGTATTTCTTCTGGTTTCTCCGGTACCAAAATCTCCACCACATTCCGCCCAATCTTCTCCAGATACTCCGATTTCTGCTCCTCCGTATACACAATTCCACTGCTCACAATCACCACCTTCTCCACCATCTTCTCCTCCATCTCCGCCATCCGATACACCACAAATCCTCCGTAACTAATTCCATACACCGAGAATCTATCAACTCCCAATTTCTTCATTCCATCGCACACGCACTTCGCCTGAAACTCCTCCGTACGCTCCGTCCTCGTCGAGTACGATTTGCCGAAAAACACTAGATCTGGTATGTAAACATTGAAATCACGAGTCAATTGAGCTACCTGCAATATGAATTGCCACTTGGAGTTACCGCCGTAGCCATGGACGAGAACAAGGTTTGGCTTGTTGCAGCGGCGGTGGTTCGCCGCCCATATGTGCATTGAGGTTTGACAATCGTCGAGGTCGACGGTGCATGGGGAGAGACTACAGTAGGAATAGTAAAGCGATAAGAGAGCTTCGGCGGCCTCCATTGGAAGGCGTTTGATGCCGCCGTGGAGGGACAGGAGACGGCTGTGGAGCCGGAGAGATCGAATGGTAGAGAGCATGACTGAAACGTATGATTAATGCGCAAGAATTTGGGAGGTTTTCGAATATATGGAGAAATATTTTTGTTGGTGTCGTGTCATTATCAGTGTATTTATGTGTAAATAAATATAAATAAGCATATGATAATATCCACGGATATATGTTCCGTCAAACTTCAATATTATAGAATGCACTTTTATTTTTGAAAACGAACATTAACTATTTATATTGCAAGTTTATAAATAAATAAATAAATAATCTGATTTTCCAAAATTTATATTTGACATGTGGTAGAGGGTAACATGTTTAATAATTAAGTATTTAGTTTTAGATTAATATTGAAATTGTTCCTTCGACTAGGTATTCATTTCGTCACTATTTTTTTTAAATGCTTATAAATTCTCTTAACTTGTTTATTTTATGTATATCTAACTACGGTTAGGTATAAATGAGTCGAGATATTCGTAATTTATTCAGAATCAGCTGGTTAAAAGTTCAATTTGGATCGAACGAAACAAATCACGATTTTTATTGTGTTTCATTATTAAACAGGTCTAGACAGTAAGCTCGACTCTGTTAGTGCATAATATAAATGATCCTTTAATGCAAAAGTAAATTGTCAACTAAAATACACTTTGCTTTTACAAAAAAAAAAACATCTTCAACATATTCTTATTATTATTTAAATTTATTAAGTTACAATTAAATATAACCATAATATTTTTATTAACAGTTAACTACAAAGTTTGGAGTAAATTTGAATCGTAAGAAAACCTACGATGATACGATTTATAAAAACGATATGAGTACTTATTCAAGTTTGGAGTAAATCTGATTTTCCAAAATTTATATTTGACATATGGTAGAGGGTAACATGTTTAATAATTAAGTATTTAGTTTTAGGTTAATATTGAAATTGTTCCTTCGACTAGGTATTCATTTCGTCACTATTTTTTTTAAATGTTTATAAATTCTCTTAACTTGTTTATTTTATGTATATCTAACTACGGTTAGGTATAAATGAGTCGAGATATTCGTAACTTATTCAGAATCTGCTGGTTAAAAGTTCAATTTGGATCGAACGAAACAAATCATGAGTTTTTATTGTGTTTCATTATTAAACAGATCTAGACAGTAAGCTCGACTCTGTTAGTGCATAATATAAATGATCCTTTAATGCAAAAGTAAATTGTCAACTAAAATACACTTTGCTTTTACCAAAAAAAAAACATCTTCAACATATTCTTATTATTATTTAAATTTATTAAGTTACAATTAAATATAACCATAATATTTTTATTAACAGTTAACTACAAAGTTTGGAGTAAATTTGAATCGTAAGAAAACCTACGATGATACAATTTATAAAAACGATATGAGTACTTATTCAAGATTTGTGATTTGCTCATGAATACTGCCACAACTAATTTTTGTATGAAAATTAATCTAAGCTAAGCATAATTTTGATGATTAATATGCACTAATATATTACTTTAAACATTGCAGAAGAGATCAAGCATAGATCTAGCAAAAAGACTTCATTTTTGGACCATGGTGAGTAAAAGCTTCCACCTTTTTGATTCTCTCTCCATTGATATGGGATTTATTGGATTCCTTGGCTGATTTCGAATTTAGGAAGGTTAGATGAGATAAAGTTTGTAACTTTTGGATCTGAAGTTTGATTTTGCATTGAGCTCCATGCATGGGATTTTGGTCTTATTTCTCCATTTTGACCAAGTTTGAGTTCTAGACTTGCATTGGGCATGCATATCTATGTGACAACCCAAAATTTCTCTTTTGTATAAGTCATTCAATTCAATCAGAATCAGACTCGTTTCTGCTATCTTTTAGTCTTGTTTAGGGTCTGTTTGAGCATTCTAAGCTTAGTACAATCAAAGTTTGGGTTCATGGATGAGCTATTCTATTACCCCCTCTTGGCCGTACACTCTCCCTATATAAGGAGTATTTAGCCATTTTTCACCACTTTACACACTTTCAAGTCTAGAACTTCGACTCTCTCTTTCTCTCTACCTTCATCAAGTTTTCATCAAGTTCTCCACAAATGTAAGTGTTTTCCTTCCTTGAATAGTTTCTACATTGCTTCATCTAGTGGTGAATTCATGTTTTCATATCATTAATTTCATCTTTAGCTAGATCTTCATCTTTCACCAAGAACACCAAGAACACACACTAGTTCTTGGTGGTTGTAAACCTTTTTTAAGCTTCAAAAGCGTAAGTATTCCATTCTTAGCTTGTTATTCTTGAAAGATCTCTTGATTCAAGCATTGATTCATCATGTTTCAACATGTTCTTCATCCCTTAAAGGGAGTACAGCCGTACACCTTCATAAGGTTGGTCGTACACACCTTAAAGGCCTTAAAAAGTGAGAGTTTAGCCCCTATCATCTAATTGGATATGCTAAACCTTTGATTCTATCCTTGATTCACCTTAAAATCGACCAATTTTGCAAGAACATGATGGGTGTACGGCCGCACACCCCTTTGTACGGTCATACACTCCTCATAGGGTTGTAAACCCTCTTTGATGATCATTGCAGGCCTTAAATTTCTGACAAAACTAAGCATGAGACCAAGAACACTTCCTTGATGCTTCTTAGGGCCTTAAAACACCTCAAAACGCACACTTCTTCATGAGTGTACGGCCGTACACTCGTGGGCCGTACATCCCTGGCCGTATACACATCCTATTGGCTGTACACTCCCCTTTGATCAATCATATGTGATTGTAGCACTTAGTTCAAGTGCTTCCTAGTCCCTTGGGTGTTTCCCTAGCATAATTAGTTGTTATATGCACTAATTTAGATACATATATGTATTTAAATGATATTAGGATTCCGTTAAGTGCCACGTACAACAACTCAAGGGTCTTCACTTCAAGTTCATTAATTCAACACTTACACACAACTAACAGTGAGTTCATACCCTTATGATTTTATAATTTTAAACGTTTTCAGGGGGAATACAAGCCAAACACAAATGATTTTGTGAACTAAAACAAAAGGATTTCAATAAGTTTAAAACTTATGCAAATTGATTTAGTCCAATGATTTTTACACAATACATAGTTATCTTATCCCTTTTGTATTATGTGGAACATAAGGGACACATTACTGTTAAACAAATATATTGAATTGCATAGTTTTCAGAAACAATACACAAACCAAGTACAATACATTACAAGCAAACTATAATGGGTATAGTTTGGGGTTTTCAATACACGGTTATACAAATTCAGAGATATAGATTACTACATTCGGATTTCAAAAGTACATACCAAATAATTATATAAGTATAATTATTTTTACTCTACAATACATACATCAAAATTCAAGTACAAAAGGAACATTACGTTATCATATTATTACTTGTAAAGTCGTTAATCTAATTGGGAGACATGTCCTCGAACACTTGCAAACATAACAAAGTGGAGGATACGTCCTCGGATACTTGCGAACATAACTAAGTGGAGGACTACTCTTATGAACCAGAGTCTCTTGTAGGGAGAGCGTTAATTTTATTTATAGATCTATACAGGATTGACAACCCTGCACCTTGCTGCTAGCTACAGTAGGACTGTCAAGTCTACGGGTGACAAAGTCATAAATGATATTGGCATCCGATTCACGTCATATCAGTCTAGTATGGTCATAAAACTCGCCAGTAGATTGTAACAATATATTTACGTAGTAATATACTTCTCATGAACAATTGCTTTAATAAAATAAGTATGGAAAATACTTGTGCCTTTCATTTTCGGAGAAATTAAAGCAACAATGCACATTCAAGGGAAAATATAGGATTTTCCCAAACAAACATCAGTACCTTACAAATAATCAGAACAACATTCTATACAATATTTACATTACTAGTGATAATCAAGGATTTTATACAAGAGTTTTCATACAAATCAAATAGAACTTTCTATACATAATGGTGGTAGCCAGGGTTTTCAAACAAGAACATACTATACAAAGGATTTTGTACAAGAATACACACACATACTATGATTAGTAGTAACCAGACATAATAACCAATATTTTTCATATACTACAATAGGATACTGTAAAAAAAACATTCATAATAATATCTATAATTCCTTAGTTTGGGAATTAGGGCTAAGTATGGAGAATATTCGATAGACTATGGCATGTGTGGTTTCCGCCTCATTTCTTGTTCCTTGTTTGGTTGTGGATTTAGGGCAGATCCACATAATCAACTGTCTGTTCAATATTGGTTTATACACGGCTAACATGAACTAAGTGGTCATAGATGGAATTGATATTATCGCACTTTTACTAAAGAAAATATGGTATTTTCTTGAGAAGCATACACACATTTTTACTGATAGAAAGACAAGTTTTCAATACAAAAACATGCTTATGAACTCACCAGCTTTATGTTGATACTCTTTTCAAAACCGCTTGTATTCTCAGGAAATCAATAGATAGGTATTCTCGCAGCTGTTGAGAAGACAGAGTGTATATAGAGTCACGTCTTTTATATTTTTTTATGCTTATGATACATTCAAACTATGAAACAAGCAGATGTAAATATTTATGTATTCAATGTAATGATTGTGTTTTCTTTGATTGCTATGACGTAATTGTTATGATATCACAGATGATGTCCTCCACCCCCGAACGTTTCCGTCGTTTCGGTTTGGGGGTGTGAAAATCTGTATAGTTTTTTTTTTTTTTTTTTTTTTTTTTATGTTGGGATTGAAGAAAGAAAGCCTTTTAGAAAGTATTAATGGGTGGCTTGAAGGATTAAGAGCTTAATCCATTAAGTTGTGATTGTTAAACTTTCACGACGTGACAATGTGCTTGCCACGATGTGACGGTTGGTGCCATAGTAACTATATTGTCATGAAGGTGCCACAACGTGATCAATGATGGTCGCGAAGTGGGAGTTGTTTGGGGGTTGACTTTCGCCATTGACTTTTTGACTAGGTAGACTTTTGGTCAAACCTTGAGGAGGTGTTAAAGTGGTTTAACATGTGTTTGGTTTAGGAGGTTCGTGTAATTGATGTTGTGGGACTTTGAGTAGTGGATTTCAACTCATTGTTCAGGTGAGTCTTCCCACTATACTTGCATGTGT